CAGTGGAAGACGTGACAAATACTTCATAATAAAAAGGGGATTATTAATATTAATAAAAACGCTAAAAAAATAGTTATGAAAACCACAAAACACAAGTTTGGAGATTAAGACAATTATTGGCATTTTCTTAACAACGATCGAACTGTATGTCAGCATTTGTGTTGTCAGCGGTCCGCTGTCAGCATGAGTTTCTAACTTTGCCAGCAGCCATGGTGTTGCTCTTCACCATTATTGTGCTTTTGAATTCTTCATATTTCACTATAATTCTCTGTTCCACTGCATTGAAATATGTAGCCCTGTCACAATGCGTGCTTACGTGATTGGTTGATTGTTGCACATGGCACACTTTTATGTGCACGCACTCGGGAAGTAATCTTGAGCTGTGTCCCAATTCAGGGGCTGCATCCTTCTAAGGCTGCATTCAAAGACCAAATGCATCACAGCGAGGCGATAAGGCAGTCCCATTTGGAAGGCTCCTTCAAATGTAGTCTAGAAAGGCATCCTCTTTTTGCCGAGACATAAAGGATGCACCCAATGGATTCTTTGCAGCCCAACATATCCCAAGAGTCACTGCGCAGAGCTAAAGTGGGTGTGTCCCAGTTAGACCCCAGGGGCACTTTGTGACTCAATATAAGGGGAGTAGCAGCTGGTGGGGGGCAGACCATCCCACCTGACAACGCTTTCTGTTCGACCATCGAAGAACGCAGCCTACAAAGGCTACACCTTCATGAAGTGCACTCCTTGAGGATGCAACCCCTGAATTCAGACAGAGCCTAAATGAATCTTGGGATAAGTTGGGCCACTAAGGATTCATCAAATGGATCCTTCGTGGCCCAGGAAAAGAAGGACATATTCCTAGGCTGCATTTGAAGGAGCCGTCGAAACGGGACAGCCGTCTTGAGGCACTGTGACGCATTTGGCCTTTGAATGCAGTCCGTTAATTGGGACACGACCTTAGCTTCAGTAAGAAAGCATGGCTTAATGTAGATTGCTGATCGTCAGTGTCTTACTTGTAATTAAACCCCGATACCCTGACGTCTGCGCCTTTGTCTCCGTTCCATCCCCGCTCAGCACGACAATATTATTATAATTAAACGTATTCTTATTATTAATATTAAAACAAGGAATAAGAAATCTTTATTTTTAAATGTATTTTGTTATATAATAATAATTAGTTACTGTCTATCATTGTCTAAATGTATTTTTACTGTCTAAATACATGTATTCAGCTAGTGTAAACATGCATGATGCTATCACAGCTAATGTGAGACTGAAGCGTTACCCTTTGTTTCCGCTGAGAGACGTGCCACGTGACTCATTTCCTAAGTTATCTTAGGTCGGTGTTCACAGTTTGACTTCTGAGATTCAGATCGAGCTCTAGGTAATTTTTTTTCGAACTGCAGGTTGGTTTGACTTTCAAGAAATTCGAGTTCTAATGAGTTTGAGAACTGAGGTACCACTGTATTTTCCTTCGTGCCAATACCATATTTACTTAGGTCATTGTCAGCTATCCCCACAAGCCATTGTGTTTAAAACAATGTGTTTCAAATAGTGGGGTCAAAAATATATTTCGTCAGCCCTGTTGTGCCCTTCCCAGTGGAAAAGCTAAGAATAGCAGTTTTAACTAAAAATAAATTGTAGATTATTTTTCACAAATTATCATTAATAATAAAGTCATCTAGCTGGTCAGATTAGCGATCATTTGTCAATCCTCCTTATTCCTGGTGGCCCTATGTCGAGAAAGTAGCTATAAGCGGCAACGACCTTTTGGGTGGCTGGTTATCTACGGTGGTCCATTTGAATGTATCTAACATATATAGTGTCACATATACAGCCCTTTGAGGGAGTGCATTTCTTTCTGTGTCATTAGTCTTGCCTGAAATTGCATTACAGAGGTCATGTTGTGCCGTTCACAACTGTACTAATAACCAAGCCAGGCTAAATGTGTGGGTAAACAATGCTTTGACCATGTACCAAAAAGAACGAGGGACTGTCAGTCTTTAGCTGTCAATCTTTCCATCGCCTTCCAAAAGACGATGAATCGAGATTAAATAGGCTGAAGTACCTAAACTTAAAGAGACGACTGAAAATGCTCTCTGTATCTTCATATTAACAGAGGCAAGGTTGTTCCGTATACTTCCTTCAACAAAACACATCCATTTACACATTTACAGTGGTACTAATATCCAAGCTAAGCTAAATGTGTGGGTTAATAATGCTTTGACCATGTACCAAAAAGAATGAGGGACTGTCAGTCTTTAGCTGTCAATCTTTCCATCGCCTTCCAAAAGATGATGAATCGAGATTAAATAGGCTGAAGCACCTAAACTTAAAGAGACGACTGAAAATGCTCTCTGTATCTTCATATTAACAGAGGGAAGGTTGTTCCCTACTTCCTTCAACAAAACACGTCCAACCTTGTTGCTGTGGAGATATTGACACACCTTGCATCTTTTAAGATCAGGCTTTCCAACGATTTATGTATCTTTTCACGGCAACTATACCATAAAAGTCGTGGTATCCGTTTGAGACACACATTAACTTTGGTCTGTTACAGCACTACTATGCATGTCACTGTATGTCATTCTCTCATGCATCAACCGTAGAAGGCAGAGGTGTGACAATATTATCGCATTTCAGGGTTGAAAAGCCTTGTTCCCTCGTATTGATTTGTTATTTTGCTATTGCTGAGAAATGCTGGTTCAGTGTTCAGTGGTGCAACAAAGTGGAAGTCGTGCTCATAGTTCATGCAATCTATCTTGGAAGCTAGAAATAAGGTGGATGTTTTTTTGTAAATTCACGCAGGGCGTATGCAGCCAGGTAGGCCTTGAGTTTGACAACAGTAACCTAAACTAAAACAGTAAATTCCATTCCCTAAGATAATGCTGGACACAATAGGCACAGAGACGTAGGCGATGATTAATGCAATGAAATGATTACCAGATTTGTCATGAGCCTGGGGCAGAATCCAAAATGAGCCCTGAATGTTTTGTATAGCTCAGATGTTTCATGGTCTCTGGGCTAAGCTCTGGATGTCTTAGGATCCTAGCAACACTCGTGATAATTACTCATTTGTCTTGCAACACCAGGGCAACTCTTTGTCTCTCACAGGGAAGTCAGAGTCAGAGACATTTGTGCTTGAAGGGTGTCTCATGGAATATTTTATAGAATGGAGTGAAAAATTCAGCAAGGCTTATATGAGGGTTTCATGACAGACTCTACAGCCAGGGTAATACTAAGGAGCAGTTCTGAGTGTCATTACATAAGTAAACCATTATGTTTATCATTTCACTTCATGGTTCTATCTCAAAGCATCTTGATGCTATCTCTTCCCACAAGGAAGAAAGTGGTTAAGCCTTTCCTCCATGACTACCACAAATCAGCGTGGTCTCAACCTGGCTGACGGCAGCTTTGTTGTTCATTGGAAGCCAGCAATGAAATGGCTAACTGATGGTGCTTTTCCACCGAGAAAGAATCGATTCTGTTCCAGTTCGCGAACCAGTTCAGTTTGCAATTAGGTGCCAACTACGAACCAGCCTGTGTTTCCACCAGTTTTTGTCTCAGCAGTCAGCACCATCACGTCATTAGTGGTGGGTATAACTGAGTAGATGGAGTTCAGAGAACAGGAGCAAGATGGCAGATGGCATGGTTTACCTCCAAGTATATAGTACATGCCCACTCATGATATCATTATGGTTCCCATTCAGGGACCAACTATTTTTTGGTCCTCAATTGGAACCGTATTTTTGGTTTGGAAGCAGTGTATATTTTAGTGGAAACACACAGAATTGTTCATAAATAGGTTCACGAACCGGAACAGAACATGTTTTCTCAGTAGAAAAGTGCCATGTGAGGCAGTGTGGGAGCCCTGATTCCTGCATCAAGTCAAGGTGTCCTGAGATAAAGGTGCCTACACTTCATATAGTTTGCATCGCCTGGGTTCAGTCCGTTAAAGCTCCAACATTTTAATCCTGTGCTGCAATGAACAGGGGGATGGAAAGGTCAGTTTAATTTGTGGGAAGAGGTTTGCTGGCCTGTGTGTCTTACACAGTACCCCTCCCACCCTCCAAACAAATGAGTTATTACTAGATTGATTCCTGCAGTCAGTGTGATGTTTATTTAAGGCCAATTATACAGGTGCTGCCAAAATTATTATAAAGATCTTTTGCTTTTATGTTATACATATACACACGCACACGCACACGCACACGCACACGCACTCAGCTATGACCAGATGCAGTGCATTCTGTTTTATTTTAGGATTTTAGGGGTGGGGGAGTTGGTTTTTTTATTATTAAAAAAAGGATGGTGTAATAGATGTTCTTCTAAATGGTACTTTAATTTCAATAATAATTATAAAAAAGAGATCTTCTACCTACTGCCATGATTATCTGTCCCCTCCTTCTTTCTTGAGCCTCATTGTTACCTTTTATGTTCCATTTGGTAGATAAAGCCGCATGTATCAGTGGCCTAATACACAGAACCACACAGCACCCATATACCCATATATGTTCAGTCTTTCAATCATTTTTTCAGCTCTGTAGCACTACATTGACCCAACACATCCTGTAAGGGCTGAGGGCAAACCAGCTCATGGTACATGTTTTAATACCACTATATGTTGTGTACATATGTGCCTGACTAACTGATTACGTGATTTCTGGAAGGGATGGTTTTTTGAAGGAAAACAAAAACAAAGCCAAGATATAGAATAGTTCTGAAGTAATCACATTTTTTAAATGAATACTAGACGTTAAAATCAAGGAAGGGAGAACTCATGATGTGAACTGTTGTTTGCTGGTCATTACCTGGTTAATTTGTTGGCCAAGTCAGATTAAACCGGGCAGTAATACATTGTTTTTCTTAGCCAGTTACATCATCTGATTGCAATTTTACAAGTTTCATTGCAAATAAGAAATGACAAAAGAAGTCTGACAGGAAGTTCAATCCATGAAGCTGGTTCACCTGAAGGAGGTGGAGAGAAACTACACCCTAGGAATATATAACAGAGGTCAGCAGAGAGAGGACAATACGGCTCTCTGTCCTGCTTTCTGCGTTGCTCCTGAGAAAGCGACACATTGAAGAGAAGACTCACAATGGCATCTATGGGGAAAGAGGTTCTAGGATTGGCCCTGGCCATCATCGGATTTCTCGGGGTCATCATTGTGTGCGCCCTGCCCATGTGGAAGGTGACTGCCTTCATCGGAGCCAACATCGTGACAGCGCAAATCATCTGGGAAGGCTTGTGGATGAATTGCGTGACCCAGAGCACGGGGCAGATGCAGTGCAAGGTCTACGACTCCATGCTCGCCCTGCCCCAGGACCTGCAGGCCGCCCGCGCCCTGGTCGTCATCTCCATCATCGTGGCCTTCTTCGCCATCCTGCTGGCTGTGGTCGGGGGACAGTGCACCAACTGCATTGAGGATGAAGCTTCAAAGGCAAAGGTAACCATCGGCAGTGGCATTGCCTTCATCATCGCTGGTGTCCTCTGCCTCATCCCAGTCTGCTGGTCAGCTAATACAATCATCCGGGATTTCTACAACCCTCTGCTGACGGAAGCCCAGCGCAGAGAGCTGGGAGCCTCACTGTACATTGGCTGGGGAGCTGCTGGTTTGCTGATCCTAGGTGGTGGCCTGCTGTGTACCACTTGCCCCCCCAAGGAAGACAAGGGCTACAACGTTAAGTACTCCCAGCCAAGATCTACAGCTAATAGCAAGGCATATGTTTAAGAGTGGTGGTCAACACCGGAAATCATCCACAACCATCAATCGCTTTATTTTTGGCGTTTCCTTTGTCATTCACGTTTTGTTTTTTGTACCGAGTTAAAAACTCCGATTAAAATACGGACATATGGACGTCGTGTGGACTCATAAGCCGAGTTCTGTAAAATGACAAAAATAAGTGTTTTGTACAGTGGACGGGACTATTGTCACTGAAGNCAATCTGCTCTTTGTTCTCTTCTACAGCCTATTAGACGGTCAACATTTTGCACTGTGAGTGAACATTGTGTTTGTCAAAAAAAAGCACAGAAGTGAAGCAGCTCATTCAGGCTTCCAGCAGGAGGCCTGGAACCTGCCTTTATACCTGACAATACACCTAACAACAGCTAATGTCCCATGGCTCTACGTTCTGTTAAAAGTCAATTACTCATGAAATTTATTCATGTAACTTCACACCACAAACATTAAATGTTCAAATATTCATACTACAAACTACATAAATTAAAATCAAAATGCTAGCCAATGTTATCACATTCTTATTTTTAGGAACACCAGGCATATAATATGAAATATTTCTCTTCTCTTGCTTGTATTTTTTATTTTATTTTATTTTATTTTACCAGGAATGTGTTTTATTTTTTTTATATATTTTTTTTTATATATATTTCACTTAAATTTGTTTGAACTTCTCTATGGATTTTTAAATATGCATTTGCTAAATTAAACTGTTTGGAAATAACTTCCACAAATTCAAATTAACATGATTTTTTTACATTGAAAATGTAAAATTATTTGTCCATGAGCTCTATTTAAATAACCTAATTAAACTGTATCTATAATGCAAAGGTGAGGGACTGACCAAAAGACGTGTGAAATAAATTATATTCTCTATAGACATTTATTTACTGATTTGATGTTGACACCAGGGTATATGAACTGCTTTTGGGTATTTTGTTTTTTTCCTGGTTATTGGATACTGGTCAAATTATTAATGCAAGTAATTTATATATTGTGTGCTCTGTTAGTCTGAGATGTAAGTTTTATTTCAGTTGTTTGGCAGTGATAATAGCACACTCTAGACAGGATAAATTTAATGTACAAGTGTTGAGTATATTGCCTACTATTAAAAACATTTTTGCAATACAATGGTTCGTTTCATGAGGTGTTCCGCGCCTTAGTGTAATCAGTGAGACCGGTCCAGCAAGTTTCCATACATATACCTTCCACATAACTCACCCACTAAAACATCCCAGAAATGTTAGTTGTTAAACCACTTCCCACTGTGAGTCTCGCTCAAGGGCAACTGCTGTTATTCAAGGGATTTTTATCACCAGCATTTTGAAATGCAGTCATGTGCCTCACAACGACGTTTCGGTAAACAACAGGCCGCGTGTGCGACGGTGGTCTATTCCTATCACCTAGTGACAGTGCAACGCATTACGTGTCTGTGGTAATGCTGGTGTAAACAAACCAACTGCACTGCCAGTCGTGTAAAACTATGGCACATTCAGTAATGTACAGTACATAATACTAGTACCATAATACTATGTTACTGGTTGATGTATTTGCTATATTGTACTTTTTTTCGTTATTTAGGCTACACCACATATGCTAGGTGTGTAACAGGCTATGCCAGTGTCTCCCAACCCAGTCCTACATATTTTTGCTCCCTCCCAGCTCCCAGCCAGACAGTCAACATTTTTGCAAAAAGACGAGGTTGGGAAACTCTGGGCTTTACCCTCTAGGTTTGTGTAAATACACTATGATGTTCACACAGCGATGAAATCATCTATCTACGCATTTCTTAGACCATATCCCCATCATTAAGAGACAAATTACTGTATTTGTTTTTTTTTTACAAACGTGATCCCACAAAACACACGTGGTTCTGAGAAACCCTAATCTGTTCTGGGGTAGAATCCTCACTAGCAGTTATAACACCCAGTATATATCCTATCTGTCGGAGCTCTGAGAGTTCCCGTGGACTAGTGACTAGTGTGAAATGCTTTTTCATTGAAGTGACGAGTTCCTTCAGTGATCCACTGTAGCCCATACAATCACATAATGCAGCTTTACTATTGGGTTTGCTGTGCTGATTTTATATTTCAATAGATGCTTTAATCCAAAGTGATGTATTGTTGAGAAAGCAGGATCAATCAATTAATCCCTTGGATGAAGGACCTCACGCAAGGGCCAAATGGTAAAATCACTCTACTTTCTAATCACAGGCGCAGCAGTCAAACCCACAGAGCCACACGTGTTAAAAACTTCATAACACTTCACACAATTTTGTGTACTGGTTCCTATCCATTCTGCAGGACACTCCTACAGGTGCGCTCGCATAATGATTTTTTTCTTACATGTGCGGTGTAATGCAAGGAACCCACTCACATTGTTTAACTATAGACAACATTCTCATGTTGGATTAATTCACAAAACTGTGTGAACGAAGCATCCAGAACTTTGGTTAAAAAAAAAAAGGAAATGATTAAATTCTATATCTCTGTTGTTGTCAACACAGCAAACATCTCCTAGAGAACAGAAGGCCACTCACTCCCTTTAACATAGGTTTTCTGTCCCGTGCAACTCATGTTAAACAAAAACAAGATCATCAGGAACAAAAACAAAAAAAGAGAAAAAGAACCGGTTTTTCAAGGAGAGATTCTGAGAAAACATGTCACCATCCTTGCGTGCCCTGCACATGCACCTGAGAGATCACAGTTCATTTCACGTAACATTTTTGCTTACTGAAACCAACGGTGACCAAGTGCTTAGGCTTGGTCCTTAGCTAAAGGCAACCAAGCGTGACATTAAGTGATGTTTTTTTACAGTTTCATTACAGGCTGGTGTAAGTCTATGGCCTCTGAGTAAGACCTATTTTGAAAATAAAAAGCATTTTATAGCATATATTATAGTCCAGATCACCACTGAATGAGAAAAAAACGGTGCTTGTTGTGGGTTTAAACTCTGGAAAACATTCCTGAGAAAGCTCTTTAAAACATGTCAAATTATCTCAAGCAGTGCCTAATATTTTAAGGCAGCCTTCTGGATAAATGCGATTATATGAATAAATCATTAATTAATTTTACGAACTGCTAATCCAGGTAAAGCCTATGTTACACTATAGTGTTTCCCCTTGTTTACATGTAATAGACTATAAGGTGGTGGAAAGTACTTAATTTACTAGAACAGGACAGAACAAAACAAACAGGATGGTAACCTGTCGAGCATGTTTGTGTCTCTGAGGTCAGATTATTAAATCAACAGGGAGGTCTAGTTTCTTTTGCTTGTCACACTGAGTATTTGTGGTGTGGCTCAAATTGTTCTCTACAGAGCCATATGTCAGTCTCAGTTGCATTTAAAATAGTATCGATTGCAGCTGTACAGGATCTAGCTGCACAGTTTCAACTGCATTTCAACTGGAAATCAAAGGCCCATTTCAATGAGCATGTTATTTTTCAGTATCTTTGATTTAGATTAGATACAATAGATAGAATAGACAGACAGGCAGACTTTATTGATCTCAACTTTGAAAATCATGTGGCATTATGAAAATAAAGATTTGGAGGATTTGACATGCACTGGTCTAGTCGCTACGTGTGGAAATAAACATGAACGTCTTCCCTACGTCACATAACAATGAATTTAGCAACAAACTGAAAGAATGTAAGCTATTAACATGACTACTACATGACTGCTTCCTACCAAAACATCACTGGTAACGTCATTTTGTGACAAATTGTACATACTTCCAACCAGACTCATTTAAAATGAGAAACTGTTTAGTGTGTATTATACTGAATAATTTTCATTTTCATTTCTTTAATCGTCAAACTCGAACGAACAGTATGATCTACCCGTACATCCATTTTCTGTACCTGCCTGTCCTACGTAAGGTCGTAGGAATCCAGGGCATGTCCCAGAAGCTGAGGGCGCAAGGAAGGGAATAACCCAGGGCTGGATGCCACACACACACACACGCACGCACACACACACATAGTCGTGTAATCATATCTTTTTGGTGATCGCTCATTAATTTCATGGGAGAAATGCTAATGCTAACTATGACAGCCTTAACCCCTACCCAGCCCTAACTATAACCATAAGTAACCAAACAAAATACAAGAATTGTTGTTTTTAGTTTTTTCAGTGCAGTCACGGATTTTTATAAAATAGAGTTTTCCTCTATGGGTACCAGGAAAAAAAAACGGGTATTCATTACATTGTGGGGACATTACCCCACAAGGTAAGGTATACCTGGACCACACAGACCACTCAAACATTTATTCACACCTATGGATAATTTGGTACCTCCAATACAACGATGGTTTTGGACTAGGGAGGGGAACCGGAGAACTGGAAGAAACCCCACGATGACACGGGAAGAACACGCGAACTCCACACACGTAGAGACAGGGCACAGTTACACGTCACTAAAGAATGAGTAAACACTTGCAAGCATATTGCCTAACATTTTTATGACGGACCTAAACACCATACGCTCATGTAGGGTCGAGAGCGCCTCCTATTGTTGACCAGCTATGTCCTTGGGTATACTGCCATCTAGTGGCAGAAATTCTACATGTACCACACTGCAACATTCCACTGAACGGTTTCAGGTAAACAGAGCAATGACGGAGTAAATTGATACCACCATATTAAACAAAAAATGTAGATGGTACATGTGATAATGTCAATTGATCCATCCAGGAGCGTTGTTACTACATATTTCCCAGAAGTGGTGAAGCACAGACCAACATCTCATTGATGTCACACCATTACGAAACCTTAACACTCGAACTCCCAGAATTCTATAACTACTAGAATCGCCGTAAGCGGTCATTTTGACCGCTCATTTATCATTTTATATAAAACACTAATAATCAATATACAATTAAGCATAAATTCATTTTCATTTTTAGAATAGGTAATAAAAATAATAATAAAGCATCAGGACATGAAATAAATCAATGAATGTAAACATTTATTTGATTGACAATCGTCGAACCGCTGTTATCAATTTGCAAATTTGAATTACAAAATGTAAAAAAAAAAAAAGTTTTATTAAATGCAATATTTGTTTAAATTAGAAAAAATATCATGCTTTAAGAGTTAAAGGAAAATATGATGTAAAATCCTAAACCGTTTTGTCTAGTGGGCAATCACATAAACAAATTACCGCACACCATGGCAAAGTCCCTGATGCATGTGAATCTGTTATTCACAGTCCACACAGGTGATCTCCACCTTCTCTGTACATTTGTCACACGTGTCCTTTGTTTTATTTTTATTGCAGTTTCTCCGCACTTGGCACTGCCACCGTCTTAGCTGTTAGCTGTTGAACCATTTTGAAAACCAAAAATCCATATGAACATTTATCAAAGTATTCTTAAACAAAAAATAATGA